AATACATTTGCATCTTATGCTTGAGCGAATCAGTCGATTGAGACCTGTCTAACAGCCTNTCCAGTCGAATTTTTTCCTCTCCCACCAATTTTTTCAAGATTGCCAGATTATCAACATATGAGGAATACATTTGCATCTTATGCTTGAGCGAATCAGTCGATTGAGACCTGTCTAACAGCCTAAAAACTGTGTGCTGGCCTACCTGATGCCATTATTCCTCTCTTTTGTCAAAATAACTATGATAAGATAATTGGACGCACTATCGAGAAAGATGTACAATGGCGGAAAGTGGCCATATGCGGGCATGTGACATGTGACATGCCTATCTTGCGCGCCAAAATCATTACTTCCTTTTGTTAACGCAAGATGGCGCCACATGCGACAGAAAACGGTATAAAACTTCATAGGTAATTTACCTCTTTTTATACCAGTAGAATATTTGGTAATTTACCGGAGGTATTATCATAGAGAATTGACTAAAGTAGAGGCTCAGATCTCGGGGTTGAAGTGACCCCAAGCCAAAAATAGTTCGACCCCAACGAAGGGATGGCGCCACGGTCGAATCTGACGGCTGGGCGAACTGCCTGTGCGGGTAACTCGACAGTAGCAGTTCCGCTGTCACAGGGATAGTTTCGGAGTGGAGTTTATGATCTCCTCGTCCTCAACATGTTCTTAATGTTTTTCAGGTGATTCATTTGCTGGCTAATTAATATTAAGGAATGAAACCCAGATGGTGTGATGGAGCATTAAATTGCCCATCAATCGATCCCTGTTGCATCCCTTAATCTCTGTAACAAACAAGCAGGCGACCAACCCTATTCGACAGAAGACTTGTGACACCACACTGTTATGTCAAAAGTCTTCATTTTTCTGCTACCAATTACATTGGTTATAAGCTTCCGAAGGGAAGAAGTGCATCGTCTATTTTTTATTTTTATTATTTCAACCGTAGTATATAAAATCATTTCGTNATTTATGCCCTCCTCGTCCTCAACATGTTCTTAATGTTTTTCAGGTGATTCATTTGCTGGCTAATTAATATTAAGGAATGAAACCCAGATGGTGTGATGGAGCATTAAATTGCCCATCAATCGATCCCTGTTGCATCCCTTAATCTCTGTAACAAACAAGCAGGCGACCAACCCTATTCGACAGAAGACTTGTGACACCACACTGTTATGTCAAAAGTCTTCATTTTTCTGCTACCAATTACATTGGTTATAAGCTTCCGAAGGGAAGAAGTGCATCGTCTATTTTTTATTTTTATTATTTCAACCGTAGTATATAAAATCATTTCGTCCTCTTAAAAATTTCATATGTAAAATTATGTGGTTTTACTCCGATTAAATCAATCAATTAATTTAATCGATTAGATTCCAAAACAGACTGATCTGTGCTGATGAATACACGTCCCATTCGAATTCAAAAAAATCATTCTCATTCCAGATGGTATTCCATAGTGCAACTTTTCTTCTTTCATATGGAATAG